AAGAAAACAATATGAAAACAAACAATTATAGAAACAATTCAAGCATATATAGTAATCAATCATCACCCAGATTAAAACATCTTTACACTCGCCTATAACTAGAAGCCAACAAACCATACCAATATCAAACTTCTAATAACAGTAACAACATAAAAATGCAAAATAAAATTATACTTACCTTAGTCAAAAAACACAAACTCTAACATCATTACGATTAAAACAATTACATTATGCAAAACCTAAACTTGATTGTTGATGTAGCTATGCTAATTAATTAGTGTAAATATTATTAAAACAAACTCTCAAAATATGTAAGCTAATAACACAATAAATATAAAATAACATAGTCCAATACATGAAAAAAATTCTAATACAAATCAATTAAATTATGCAAAAAAAATGTAAACCACTTAAAAAAAACTACCTTAGATTTACAAACAAACCATTCTATTAGTATAACAATATTCATCACAGTCTATACAATTGTATAACCTTACATCAACTATAAAAAACACAATAAAAATAAAAATAAAATAACATGTATTCAAAACTGTCATAACTACAATCTACTCAACCACCATTAGTTTGATCAGATTTTTGATATGGTAAAAATAAACAAAAAAAAAAAATTAGAAGTAAATATAAAAAATACATAAAAATTATATATATATATATAAAGTATCTTTGAGGCATGAACATATAATCATATAGAACAAACAAACCGAAGATATATGATCTTGCTATTTGCAAACACCAATTCAAAATAATATAATTAAACACTCAAAAAATACAAACAAAAAACATAAAGAATCTAAAATAACATAATCCAACACATTAAAAAAATCTTAATACAAATCAATTAAATCATGCAAAAAAACATAAACCACTTATAAAAAATTTATCTCAAAATTATAAACAAAGCACTATTGCCAAACAACATTCATCGCTAACAACATCATAAACAACAAAACACTCATTGCCAAAACAACATTCATCACCAATTACTCAAACCACAATAAAAATAAAAATAGAATAACAACCATTCCAAAACTAAAACTAATTCAAATACTAAATACCAACAACACCATAAAACAAACCTTAACTTAATTGTTAACAGCAAGAATCTTTAAATAACAGTAAAGTCAACAAATTTTTACAAACCACAAAACCATTAATAGAATCACAACAAAATTGTAAGAATACAAAAAAAAAAAAAAAACTCAATAAAATCAAACTAAAAAGTGCATACACTTTATCAATCACAAAATCAAGTACAAACTTAAATAATAAACAAAACAATGATATAAAGCAATTACGAAATCTTTTATATTATAATTAAATAGATAATAATCATTTAACACCTAATTTTAAATCAACTTTAGAATTTCAAAATCTTCCCCCAAACCTTTAATTAATAATAACCTGCATAAATTGATTCCAACAAAACTAATAAATAAACTAAATAATAGTATTACTTACAACAAAAACATTCTAACACATGACCAATACCTTTAAAAAATAAAATTTTAATTATCAAAATGTAAACCATAAAGTCCAACTACCTGTAAGTCTCAAAACAAATATTAATAGTTCTAATCATATACAATAATTTAATTACAACCAAAACACTTAAATATTTAAAATTCAAAACCATTATCTAACAACAGAATAACATAAGATATCTACACTTACCTAACATCACAACCAAATTTTCAGATTCCATAAAAGTTTCTTTTTCCTATTGTATATCAACCACTTTATCTTATATAGACACAATCTATACAACCACTATCAATTCGAGCAAGCTTCAATTGCAATAAAAACAAATCAAAATTAGCAAACTAATAGTAAATACCGAAAAATACATTAAACTTTCAAATATATACAAACAACAAAAAAAACTCCCACCGTGAATAAAACCAACACTCACAACTTATTATAATAACAATCAAAACCATTCAAACACAATACTAAAACTCAGAAACCACAAAAATGACAACTTATACAACACATGCAAAACAAAAACAATAAAACAAATAACACACATGCATAAAAAAAAAACAAAAAATAACTCAAATAAATTATTAAAATATCATGTACTTTTTTATACAACAAAAAAAAACTCAAAAATAATTTAATAAACAAAACATAAAAACAAAACAAAAACACTCAATTTCCAACATAAACACATCTCTAATTACTAACACAAAACCAAAAAAAAAAAACCACAACTGAACAAAAAAAAATACCATGCATGAAAAAAAAACATAATGCATAGAAAAAAATCAAAACACAAAAATGAAACCTATAAACTATAAAAATAACAATATGTACAATGCATGAAAAAAATCATAAATTGCAAAATACCTATACCCACAAACAAAAACATCAAAATTATTTGAATTATGAGTTAACTCAACTGGAATTACTTTGTCGACAAAAAAGAAAATAAAAAAAAAAACAAGCAACTAAAACATAAGACCAAATGAAAAAACCAACCTGGATGAAGAAAATGACAAAAATAGAAAAACTCTTACGCAATGAGAAATAAAATAGTAGCGCAAAACACACTGCACATCAACCTTAAAAACAATATCTCAAAATCTCAAAATAATCGAACAATCATATTGTTTTGACATTACTAATGTGGTAAGAAAAAAATCAAAAAAGGACAGTTTTTATATATTCTTATAGATAAAGAGACTTTAAAAATTTTGGGAAGAAGCCAACATTCCCTCTAGCTTAACTTACATCCCTTCACTGCTAATAGTTGTATGACAATGAATTTTTAAGATTACAAAATATGTTAATCGCATATCTTATATTCTTGTATGAACTTTTAAAAAATGATAGATATCTCTCTATTGAAGTTGATTATCAGAATATTATACCTATAATGTGTGATTGGTTAAACAAATGTATTTTAATTAATTTAAAAAATTATACTATAATTAGATTAAATAAAAATTTCAAGTAAACTGTTAACTATCATTTGGATCAGTTAACGTTTCATTATAGTTAGCACTTGGAGATTACGGCTTCAAGAGAGTTGAGGCGTGTAATATTCTCTTTGACCAAATATGTAATAGGGTATGAAGTTTAAGAATAGATTAAAAATTTCAAAAAAAACATTTCAAAGTAAACTATTAGTAATGATATGACATGAACTTAGCCCACAACTGTAGAAAGAGATTCCTATAAATTGATGCATAGATTAAGAATTTCAAAAAAACAAATTCCAAGTAAACTATTAGTCATGATATGACATGAACTTAGCCCACAATTGTAGAAAGAGATTCCTATAGATTCATGCATATTCTTTTAAGGTTTTCTCTATGTCCTATAAACTAGTTAATAGATGCTACTTTGTTGGCTTATACCTTTAACAACAATTATTGTTATTAGGTTAAAAATAAACTAACAATGATAACCTTATAAGTTAGCAATTAGACATGAATATTAGGATATTACTAATTATTAAGGGACGAAACTTAGGATGAAAAGTTTAATAACATGCACAAATAAAATCACAAAAGGAACATCATTTGCAGCTTTACAAAAAGAATATGACATTTTTTTTCACATTGAGACAAGGCAACTTTGTTAAGTGGAGGGCAGAGAGGAATCTTAGCCTCCCTTTTCCTCCTTTCAACTTTGCATTGGGCACGTCTTTCCATCTTTACTTTGCTCTTCTTTTGAAAGAAAAGGTGGAAGAAAAGTTGGATATCTTGAAAGAAAAGATCGACCAAAAGCAAATCAATTCCACCATTATGTTCTGGAAAAGTTGGAATGTCATTTACCTGTATTCCAATAATAATAGTTAATTGAAATTCAAAGAATCATGTTAGCATCTCCATGAATCAAATAAAAAATTTCAGTAGGCCAAACCACACCAAATTTATTTTTTTATTTTTACAAAAATTATATATTTATTATTAAATGTGTAAATAAAGGGTTTGATTTCTATTTATTTATTAAATTTAACAAACGATTACAAAAAATAAGCACTTTAAAATCTGTTAATTAAAAAATAGATCATAAATATAATAAAATTCATTTATATTTGATCTATTTACATCTTATTTGTTACCATATTAAAAGATACATATTTATTAACCAAAGTTAATTTTATTAAAATTAAATAAATGTTAAAGTTTAATTTAATTTTATTAATAAACAATTTTGTGATGAAGAAAAAGAGTATTCAAAGATTAAGATTTTACCATTTCTGCTCAACACTTTTCTTAGGAAGTCTAGATGAATGGCAAAGTCCAGAATATCTTGATAATTTGATGTTCTTTATTTGCTAATGTACTACATGATGTAATTAAACGCAGAATATTCAAAATGGTAATATTTTTATTGCTTTTATTAAAAACAAATAGCTTTGGGTAATTTTTGTTGTCATTTTAATGAATATAGAAAGTTATAGTTTCTTTTCAAAGCACAGTGTTTGACTATTTTATTTATATATTCTAAGAAATATGAAATTTGAAAAACTTAATTGCATTAACATCATTATGATAGTTGCTGATTAATTTATGCAAATTTTTTTTATAATAATATTATTCAAATTAATTATTAATTAATTAATTAATTCTATTAATTTTTTATTAGATTGAATATAGACATTATATAACTATAAAGAAGTACATTATACCAAAAATATTTTTATTAGTGATAAAATATATGAAAAGAAATGAGAGAAAGAAGCATGTAATTTATTCACATATAGAAGACAAATAATAAATTAAATTAAATTAAATTAACATTATTAAATAAAATAAACTCATCAAAAATTAAAAAATCAATTCATTTCTTAAGAGGTTAATCAATTTAGATTTAAATTAAACTTTAAAATTTTATGATATTATGTATTAATTAAAATAATAAATTTTGAATTAAATTCGATCCGTTATCACCGATAGCAACCATTAGATCCAATATTTGTGAGGCAATTTCTAGAATTGTTTCTATTTCATAAGTATAAAAAAGTGTGTTTAAGAGGTTTTACCATTATGGGATTTAGCAAAATAGTGATTATCCGAAACCCCAGAAGTGGAGAATCTGGCATAACACTTGCCCAAGTACATATCACCATAAGCAGCCGCTCCGCATTCGCTTTTCAGCCGTCCGATGGCATCTGACAAACAATCCTGACATTGACCAACGCTCAGATCCCCCTCACATTGGGCCAAACCTTGGACTTCCCCTGACCCACCAACTCTGAATGGGCCACCAGCGCCCATCAATCCAGCCATCATCGCATCTCGACGGCCCACAATCTCAGACTCCTTCTCATACTCCACGGACGGCCCACACTTTTTCTGCACCACAGTCTTATCCTCAACTCCTAGGAACGTAGAGTTGTCGTACTTGACGTAGCAGCCTTGCAACTGAACCGCGCCACCACATGCGGTCGGGCATAAGTTACCGGTTTGGCTCACTGCACGGGCAACGCAGGTGGCGCAGTCGGGCATGGACAGGTCGCCACGACACTGGTAAAGGCCGTAGACAACGTCTTGGGGACTTGAGCCCATGATGGTGAAGTTGTTGTAGGAGGAGTAAGTGGCTGAGTTAACCAGGGAAGTGAGTAGGGAGTTGAGGTTGGAATCGTAGGGTGAGTTAGGTGTGTATTTTTGTTGGGTGCAGCCTCCAAAGACAAATGAATCCGTTGATGAAGAAAGTACCGTTTGGATGGGGAGAAAGACAAGGAAAAAGGCGAGTGAGAGCAGAAAAGTCGTCATTATCGCTCTGCTTGATGGAAACTGAGATGGTTAGAGAGAGATATATAGGAGAGATATGCCTTCATATACACCTAAAGACATGCTTTGAGAGCCATTGCCATCTCAGCCTCACCAAAACAGTGCATGCTCTTACCTTTAATTTATATTTGTATTTTCATGGATATATATATGTATATATATATATATATAATATATATATATATAAGCAGTTAAAAAGTTATATGTGCGTTCCATTAGTTTTTTAATGTCTTAGGTGAAATTTAAAATTTTCGTGTATGAGATAATTTTATATATATTATATTTTAATTTGAGCTTTTTATTTTTATATAGGAAGTTGCAATATGTAAATATAAAATTATTACAGATATTGAGATATAAATTTTAAAATTATTAAATATTATTTTTTAAAAATAATTATATAAATCAATTAAATAAAATTTTGGTTCAGTTTGAGCATTTTATTTGTTTTGATTTAACAAAAAAATTTTAACAAATTAACACTATGTGGGCAGTGATTTCTAGGTACTGAAGAGAATTTTGTAAAAGGTTTGTCCACTAGATAAGCATAATAAGGATTTTTTTTGTCCTCTTTTGTCTTATTTAGGAGTATTTTGGGTTATGCCCAAGTTAGATTGCATTTACAATTGAGTCCTTTTGCTTTTATTTTTTTACTCTGGTTTATTTAGATTTTACTTATATATATTCTTGATTTTTTAATGAATTTGTACTTGAACATTGTAAGATGGTATATGTAAATTGAAGTTATTTTATATGATAAATTCCTACTATGATTAAAGCTACATAATTACGCTCTTTTTCTTATTTTTCAATAAAATATTTCACTAATTTCTAATTATTGAAATAGAAAATACTCTTCATTAGAGATTTTCCCCAATTTTTTTTAACTTTTCAAAATTTCAACCATACTATGAAATTGTAAATATGATATTTGGGAAATTGAAAAAAAATTATTTTTAAAATTTTACTAATAAATGCTTTAAGAAATTCTTTAAAATTACCAAAAAAAATGTACAAAATATTATTATATTAAATATAGTTGTTGACCATTAATATTATGAATTTTAATATATCACACTAAAACACTAGGGTATTACATGAGATTAAATTAAGTCTATCTTTATTATAAAAAAAAGTAACTCAAAGTTTTTCTTTCTTTTTATATTTTAATTTTATTATATTTTCCGTCTAATTTAGAAAACCGAGAAAATTACTCACCTTTCTCGTTAAGGGTATCCCCTACCGCCAAAGCAATGGTGTCCTACTTTTTTCTCGGCCACGGAAACTTTTCTACTTTTCTCTCTCTCTCTCTCTCTCTCGGAAAACAATAAAGCGAGTTGGTCCCTCTATTTTCTATTTCCCTCTCAACCTATTTTTGTAATTTAATTAATAGATTTGATAATTTATATATTTATATAATATAAAATATTTATATTTATATATATTTATATATATAAATTATATATTATAATTTATATTTATATAAAAATATGATATATATATTTTTATTTTATTAAATTTATATATAATTTTTATTAAAATTTTAAATTATAATATATGATTATTTTGTAATATCGTATTATGTTTTAAATTAATATATTTACTAATAAGTTATAAAATACTTGGCATTTTGTTCCGAAGTCAAAGCATGCAGCTTTATCTTTAAATGGAAAGGGACCCGGTTTTAAAATGAAACACGCTGTAGATGTGGCACTAGGGTCGGTCGGGTCAATTCAAATTAGGTCATTTTGGATGTTTTGATTTACAAACATTTGAAATTGAGACGTTAAACGTTATCATTTCGAGATTAAATTATTTAATCATTTTAGATTATTTTTAATGATCTTTTAAGTTTAGATTAATTTCAAATTTTAAATTAATTTATTTTGACATGACAATAAGGTAAGCTGGGTGGATTTAGTGTTGCATCAATCCTAATTAAATTATTTTAAATCAAAACCAATTCAAATTATTTTATATTCGAATAATGTAAGTTTGATATTTAAATTAGTTGAATTTGAGTTAGTTCATATTTAAATTATAATGTTTTAAAATCAAATTAATTTACATTCAAATTATTTCAATTCTTTTGAGTTTGAATTAATTCAAAATTGAATTGTTTAAGATTTGGATTGGACGGATTCATGTTATTGATTTTTCCCCATCAAAGTAGATTGGGTTGGCTTCAAATTTTGATAGGTTGGGCAAAACTTTAAAAATTGGATTAACTTTTTCTAAAAAAGATCTCCACTGACAAAAGGACATCCATAAATAAAATTTATTCTGTCATTTTTGTTGTTTCCTACTTAGTAAAAATCCTTCATCCAAAAAGCTTTGATGCTCCTTTATCTTTTGTTTAGATTAACAAGTTTGTAGGATACCTAAGGCTTTTTCCATAATGCACCATGCTTTTACAAGTAAAGACACTAAAACAACTGTACTAATCAACTCTATAATTCAACTTTGGGCAGCCTTTTCAAAGAAAAGAAGGAAAACATAAAGAAAATTGCTTAAGCAGAAAGCAAAGGCCAGGGCCCTGGGGATTAAATAAAACAAGTGATAGAAGATTATTAGTTCTCTAAAATTATAGTAAAGATTATTAAATTTAATATTTATTATATTTATATTTATTTATTTCATATTTAATATGTATAAATAAAATAATTATCATATTATAATTTATATTGATATGCTAGACATAGATTTCTTTTTTCGTTTATCATATTCAAATATGATTTTTGGAGTTAACAAAAGAAAAAAAAAATACAAAATCACTTGATATCTAATCTTAAAGAACCCTAAACTCGAAATCACTTGAGATTTGTGGTTGCCACAATTGACACAAAATCTCATATAACAAGAATTGAGTTGAAATCCATAATTCATAAACAATCCAAAACCAAAATTTTCAAGACATAACTCTAATTATTGGGACTCAAAATATATTTAAATATATTAAAATAATATATAAAAATGAATAAAATTTAAAAATTGATGAATGAATCAGTATAATTCTTTTCAGATTGGATTATATAAAAATTTGGTTCAAATTCAAATCAAATTTTAAAAATTTATAATCTTATACAATAATAAAAACAAAAAATTAAATCTGAACCAAACCATTATATTAAAAACCATCGTCCCTTTGATGGAATGTATGTTTGTTGCTGAGCTTTGAAAGATAACTGTGAGGCTTCCCAATTATAGTAAAAAAAAAGAAGGTGGTGTTTGGGGGGAAAAAATTGGTTTTAATGCACCAAAAGGAAGTCATGTGGGGCATTTTGAATTTACTGCTCCAAAGTTTGCCTTCATTTTCCAACACGGCATTTGCTAGCTCTGTCGCATATTTTGTAGGTTGCAATGTTAAGTTGCCACCATGGAAGTGATGAAAAAGCAAGTTAAAACAAAAACAAGGGAAAGAGATGGAAGGGAGGGAATGTCGCATTCCATAGTGTCGTTTAAGATTAATGGCAGTTTGTCTTGGTCTCAACATGCCATCACTGCCACTTGTGGTGTAACACTTTAACAACCGGAACACTTTGTCATTTTCCTCCTAAGATAAGCCTTAGTCATAATGCCAAAATTTAATTTTTAATTCAATAATAGAAGTTGTTTTTCAAGACAAAAATAAAAAATTTGCAAAATAATATATATAATGCCAGTTTTTTTTTTTTTTTTACAAAAAAATTGTAACATAAGGCTATGAGTAGAGATTACATATGTTAGAATTTAAACTCTAAATTTACTAAATTTCACTTATTAAAAGTGATTGTATCAATCAATTAAGTTAAATTTCGAGTTTTGTCAAATTTTTTAATATCTTTTTCTTTTAAAAAAAAATTAATTTATTTTTTTTGGAATTATATAGGCACCTTTTTTTTCTATATTATTATTCTTATGAAAACTATATATTATTCTTAACAAAGGGTATTGAAAAAAAAAAAAGTATTCTCTCATGTTTCCTATTTAGGGTTTATTTACTCTAAAAAAGATTAGGTTGATTTCTTACTATTATTTGTAGGTTAGGTTTTGTTTCAGCTTATATGAAAGCTTAGTGAATTTTTTTACTTAATTTCTTGCATAAACTTGGAGTGCACAACATGCATATATGGATGCACAAAACTCTTGTTCTTGAGGTGGTTAGTAGATCACCAAAACCAACACTTTTTCTTCCCATAGAGGTTACTAATACACACAAACACATTTAGGAAGGATAATTGGTAGCTAGATGTGCTGTTTTCACAAACTGGTTCACATGTAATGAACAATTAAAGTTTATGGCTACTCAAAGAGCTGATCAGAAACATGACTGAAATCCACCTTCAACCTGTTCTACAGCTGGAGACTCTGCAAGAACATTATATTATGGCACAAGATATAGCTTTTATATCATGCCAAGTAAGTAAGATCATTAATTTTTCAAGATCTTAGTATTTGTGCAAGGTACACAATGCATATCAACACAAAATTCCCATGTATTTTCAGGACAAGCAGAAACAAGGAAATTGGAATTGCCCTTGACTTCTAGTAACGCAAGAAAAAAATTGTTTGAATCAACATATATTATTTTTATTCAAATCAAGTCACATAATTATATTATTGAAAAAATTAATAATTTATTATACATTACATATAATTTAATAAATATTCACTGTTTAATAGTTTGCTGTGATAGATATATGAGATTTGAATATGAAGCCAAGAGAGTTTATGATCATTAAAATGTCAAATACATTATTATTTTCAAATTAGCTAAGGCAACCCAAAATCAATAAGAAAGGCTACTACATGATCAAAGTTGGATTGAAATTTTATGGGTTTGGATCAAATTCTCTTCCAACAAGCATGGTTTGGCCTAACTCTCTGCTTAGGGTTGGCCACTATTACCATACATGGGGGTTAACTTCTACAGTATAACTCAAAATCATACATAACGAAATAAATTTCAATTCAAATGAACAATGATAAAATATTTTACTTAGACACAAATTTTCATATCATAATTTTGTTGACATGTCAAAAATAAAATAAATTTTTAGTTTTTATTTAACTCATATATAATTTTTATCAAAATTTTAAATCATATTAATTAATTTTAT